CATTCGCAGCGATGGCCCTTCGCTCGGCAGAAGCGGCTGGCTGCGACGAGCGCCGCCGCCCTTGATTAGACCAGAGTTCATTACCGACTCCAGCGGGCGGGTCTCCGCGGCCACCAATTCTTCTCCTTTGTGAGCGTGTTGAAGTTCCGGAGCATAGAGTGTATTGGAATACTTCTCATACGTAACAGCTACAATATTCTAATAGTATTAATTTTAATTGTAATAGTAATAATTTTAGTCGCTCCACGTTGCCAGTTTTCTAAAATTGTTTTTGTCTTTATTAAGTTGTTTTATTCTTAAAGATAGATCCACCACAATATTTTTTAATACATTGCTAGCACTGTCGCTTTAGATTTTCTGTTGTTTCAACTCTCACATTATTTTTGTAAAGTTCTAACTAATTACATCCCTGAAAAACGAAACAAAATAACAATTACAATCATGACTACGAAAACTAATTAATATGAAAAATCCGTGTATTATTTACATTTTCGTGTACCTTACTTTACTGTTTTCTCATTGTTTTGGTGACGCAGGGAACACACTGGCATTATGAGAGTAGTTTCTCTAACTCGTTTATATACTCTACGCTAGTGCGGCCGGGATCTTTTAATGAGGAGTCAGATTTACGGGTGTTGCTTTTTAACTACATGTCACCGAGGCAAAATGTCTTTTGAAATTTTCTGGAGGACGGGTCGTGCAGTTTCCACGACCCGCGGCGCTTGCAATTTCACACGTATTAAACATTCATCGCCACCGCGTTAAAATTTCAAAAGTAAACACCATTTCGGCGCAGACCCATCAACGCGTTCAAATTGAAAACGAAATGAACCACAACAAAAATAATTAAGTTATTTTTCGAAAGAAATCCCTCGCGCCAACACAGTGCACGTTTACGGGCCCCGTGGGCGCGCACGTGCTGCGCCCTGGCGGCGGAGGCGTAAACCATTTCGCGCGTTAATTACATCCACTACCGTCGCGAGCAGTGGGGAGCGTGGCGAGGGGGGAGGGGGAGCGGAGAGCGACCTCGCGAGGGGGCAGTCCCTTTTTGTGCCCGGCCGCCCCGGCGCGGCGCGGGGTGGGGCGGCGCGGCGCGGGCAGAGGCACTGGGCGGGGCGCGCGGCCCCGCGTGAAGAATGGCCGGTCGGGGAGCGCGGCCCGGAGGGTGCGCGGGGCGCCGGGAGGGGTTGCTATGGCAACGGCGGCGGCAGCCATGTTGGCGAGCCCACCGCCACCGCCCTCCCCTCGGCCCCCGCGCTCCAACCGACCGCAGGTCCCCTTGCTCGCGTCCTCGCCGTCGCGGCCGGCGGCGCCGCCGGACGGCCAAGATTTACACCCGCAGGAAATTGTGGCGGCTTTGGATGCCCGTGATTATTTGTGTCCAGGGCTCGTATCAATTACGCGAGGGGCGGCGCGGGGAGGGCAGGGTTGGCGCGGGGGCGGAGGCGCCGCCAGGAGGGCGGAAGGCTGCGGGGACCGACAGGCGGAGTCGGCCATTTGTCGTGAAGTGGGAAATTGCTGCCTTGGTGTTAATTTATCTCTCCATCACGAAGTCCGCTACAGTAACCTCAAATTGGACACTGAATGTTTCCCCTGACGTGCGTAGACTTTTCTAGTTCTTATTGTTCAATAGTCTTATTTCAGTCAATTACATCTTATTCAACAATTTCCTAAAAACTAATGCCTTGAGCGATCGTTAATTAACTATTTATGTCTAGCCATTTCATGATTCTCACAGTTCTTTAGCCGGATTCGCTTGAGAAGTCACGTAGTATTCCCCACAACTAATTGTGTTTGTTCTTGTGCTCATCTTCTCTTCGCCGAGATTTACAACACTATAACTGTAGAGATGCAAGCAGCCTGTACCACCAACTACCCATAATAGCGATCTTATCCTTGGCCTTCCATCTATGCAAATTCACTCTCGCCCATGGGATTGCGCACGTTTTGTTGAGACGCGCGCTGCCCCGCCCGAAGCGCGCAGATGCCAGACCTCTCGTCGGATAGCGCTCCGCGTCGTCGCGTCGGCGAATTTATGCACCTTAATGAGCGCTCTTCATTTGGAGGGTGCTGCACGCCGCCATAAGAACCTGTTCGTCGGGGCTCTGCCGCTGAATTATCTCGAGGCCGGCACGCACAGACAAAGGCGCAAGAGGTCTTCATCGCCGAGAACAACGACGTCGCCTCATTCAAATCATTTTAAGGACGTGTTTATCTGTTATGGCTTCATACGACGCGCTCGCTCGCCCGGACGGCGCGCGCGCTCACGACCAACGCCTACAATTCACAAGATCTATTAAGATTAGCTTCGCGTTCAGGCCCCCTCCGAGGGGCGTATCTTTCCTTCTGTAGTCTTTGAAACCACAACGCATCATCCTACAAAAAATGTAAGGTTGATATATTCGAAAAACGTCGCTCGGGCAGAGCGAAAGGGATACTATTTTTCGGGAAAATAAAGGAACGCGTAAGGAAGACTTATCATTCCCCTTTGTACGTAGAAATCTAACAAGGTGCCCTTCTCGGGGACGGCGTGTGGAGGCGGGAATGTATCTGCAGGTATGAATATGTATAGCGAGGCTTAGAGGCAGACGCGGCGGTGAGGAATTAAGGGAATTTACAGGTAGACGCGTCCCCATGCCATCCCGCCGCCCTCCCTCCTGCCAGAGGTCTCTTGTACCTCGCGGCCCCCGCCGCTGCGAGTTGTGGGGTACCCGCGAGGCGCGCCGCGCCGCGCCGCGCCAGCGTGTTTACGAGGCCCGCACGCGGACACGCGAGCTTCGACACGACACGACACGGCGCGGCACGGCACGACCGGACACGCACTTGGCGCGCGGGCACCGTCCCCACGATGTGCTGTATCTGCGTCCCGAGTGTGTACTGCCCCCTAGCACAGCAAACAGAATGTGCTCGTTCTGATGATTGTCTATATTGTAACTAGAAGGCGAGATTTTATTTCTCTTTCTTTTCACGTGTGTTCCAAATTGCTTGTAGATTTCTGTTTGGAAAACGACAGTACGCTCATCGTCCGAAGATTCAAAACAAAAAGTATAGGCAGTAAAATGAAGATGCATTCAGAATGTCGTCTTAAAATCTCATGATCTTACTGCACAGCTACATCGAGAGATGCATTTCCAATTTCTTTTCATGCTACTTGCAAAAACATTCAGTTCCTTGTTAGACTATCTAAATCGGGGCCGTATGTTTATTTCATTAGGGGGTGCTCCATGCTGAAAATCTTACATTTGTTGGGCGGCTATACGCGAGATTCAAGAGAGCGTGTAACAGAGTATCCATGGGCAGTATGTCAGCGGACTCGTTGCAGTCCACGGGAGGGCGCTGGTTCTCGAAGCGAGCGCACAGATGTGGGTCGACGGGATTTCGAAGGCGTCCGCCCACCTGCCGGTGTTGGGCTGGTGAAAGTATGTCTGGGCGCCATCGCCCGCGCCGCGCCCGCGCCCGCGCCCGCGCCGGAGGTCGCCTGCCCATCGCCCCAACACGCAGGGCCCCACCCCGCGCCTCCTTTTTTGTCCGTTGCCCGACGCTTTCACCTCCCTCGATGGCCAAGAACCCTTCCGAAAAGGGTTGCGAAAAATTTCTTCACAAAGGCCTTGTAGCACCCCCGCGGATAGCTGACTGGCATTCCACCCCATTCTTTTTTTTTTAACGTACCGCCAGGGAAAGCGACGGGCGTCGCTGCTCATACAATAGAACGCACGCGTACATTTTAGATTTCACCGGCCAAGGAACCTTCGGAGTTTTCTAGGACCACGTCTGGTTGGTCCCAACTCTAACCGTGTTTCTTCGAAACGGTACAAGGTGGCCAGCAAATCTGAAGGAAATACTACATCTGCCTGGGGAAGCTGATATACGAAGATTCATGGTATTTTGATCAATTTATAGATGCGATTTCTTACGGTAGTAAAATGTGGGGACATGGTTGTCCAGGAAGGGGAAGAGACGGTTGGAACTGGTCGCGCCGAGCGGGGCCGGGCCAAAGACGACAACTGGCGAGGCGAATGTGGAAGATTTATTTCGTAATAAAGACTCGGCGATCGCATGGTTTGCCAACTTTGGAGCTGTACTGATATTACGGCCATGCGTCGGTGAGCGAGGGCATGCACGCGTGTGGGTGTGGGGTCCACGCGCTCCAAGGACAGGAGTCTGGCCGTTGCTCTGAGGCGGGCCGTTATGCCGCCCCCGCGCCCCGAGAAAAGGAAGGCGAAGAACGATAGAGAAAGAGCGCGATGGATTAAATTTACGACAATCGGCCTTTCGAAATATCTGCCGACGTTGGTTCTCGAGCTATGCACACAGTGTTGCCTGTCGTCGAAGTCCTTTATTGGATTTTTTCATCGATTTCTTATGCCAGTCACCATGTTTCTGTTAAGATACGAATGTAAATTTCTGCGGTAGGCATTCAAAACATATTTTCTCAGTGCCGTGAATGTTGAATTGCGTGTTTTGGGTGAAATTAATGAAGCCTCCTTTCACAGTTACTATCACAAATTTAAGGTAATTTCCTGAATAAGAGCATGTGATATTTTTCTATGTGCCTGTATGTCTTGCTTTTAGTATTTAATTCGGCTAAAACCCTTCATGCAATATCATGTAGTAGTACATTTTAATCAGTAATTATTAGTTTTACAAATAGTTTGTGTTATGCATGCTTTTAAAATATAAAATATGGCCTGAATTTAAGCATGACAGTGGTTAGAAACATGCCTGAGACTTACATATTCCTTCGTTGGTGTGTTAATAGTAGTTTTATAGTTTATTACACATTGATTTTCGAAATCTCATTAAGCATGGGATGTGGTCGCAGATTTAAAACCTAACGATAATAAGTAAGTTTTTATACTCTAAGCAAAGTTCATATTTTTTGTTTTTTGTATTTTACAATTTGTATGAGGCCTTTCCCAGACATGATGAGTCTCGAAAAGAAATTGTTTAAATTTACTGGTTCTATTATCCGATTGTGACTTCAGTTTGCCCTGCCCCAGGTCCGAACGGCTGCCCACGAAGACGAGGTCGCCAAACCTACACACGTTTCCAGACTCTGGAGCTGGAGAAGGAGTTCCATTTCAACCACTATTTGACGCGGCGGCGACGCATCGAAATCGCTCACGCGCTCTGCCTCACGGAGCGCCAGATCAAGATCTGGTTCCAGAACCGCCGCATGAAGCTCAAGAAAGAACTCCGTGCAGTCAAGGAAATAAACGAGCAGGCACGCCGCGAAAGAGAAGAGCAGGAGCGACTGAAACAGCAGCAGTCCGAGAAGCAGAAACAACAAGAGCAACAACAGCAGCAGCAGCAGCAACCACAACCCCAGCAACAGCAGCAACAGCCGCCGCCCCAGCAACAGCAGCCTCCGCAGCCCCCGCATCACGGACTCACCCACCACCACCACGATCAGCATAAGCTCGGCGGGCTGGACAAGACCGGCGGCTCGGATCTTCTCAAGGCAGTGGCAAAGGTGCCCACGTAAAGCGTCTACGCCAGGCATCGAACGGCGACCGCGGCGGGAGAAACACCTCTCGCTGCGTCCCTGAAGGTCTGCAATGCCTCATCTGCGTTCACGCGTCTTTCCGTAGATCGCTGAAGCTCCTCCATGATCCAGAGTCTCTGGGAATTCTCAGGAACAGCGAGGATCGCTTTGCGCATTGCACTAACCGGCAGTCGCCCTTCGACCCTGTCGCTGCCTAGGCCTACGCTCCTTCCACAACCCTCCTAGCACTTATGCTGGGCGTGATGTTTGGCAGTGCTTCTCAGCCCAAAACCAAACATTGCATCAAGATGTTCTCCATTTCTTTAGCGGGATAGCGTTATTAACTTAAATCCCTGGTCCTTCCTTCTAATATGTGTATTATTTATATGAGAATAAGAAGTAAAAAAACTCTTTAATGTCAGTAGTTAGTAAGTGAAGTTCTTTGCAAATCATGAAATACGACACAATGACTTAAAAAATGTTTAGTAATGTAGACTCTCTTTAAGTGGAGAAAGTATCAAACGAGAAAATAATCACACAAGAAATAAAAGTCAGCACAAAGTATCCCGAAGGATAGTGCGGAAGTGAAGAAACACGGAATGTTGCAATACTTAAAATTTGAATTTTCTTTTATGTTGACTGTGATAACAATATTTTTGAACAATTGGTTGAGATGTAAATTGTTTTAGTTGGCTTAATGAACTTCAAGAGATTGTTATATTTCCAGTGTTTCATGTTATGTTTGGTTTACAAAATAATTGACAGTGGTTTTAAAGAAGATTTAAGGTGATTCTTTAATGTGAAATTGAAAATGTAAATGAAAGTGACTCGAAGAAGTGCTTCGGATGAAAAAATAGCGGACAAAGCAATGTAATTCTCAGTGTTGTGTTTCATTCCCAGTATAATGAGCAGTTTTCTGATCTCTCCTATAGGATGAAGCAGATACAAACGGCAATACGTGCTTTATAATGCCAGAATTAGTTTCCGTACAACGAATGATGATATTTTGTTAATGGTGCCATAACATTGACAATTTTTAGCTGGAAAACAAATATATATTACATTTTAAAAGCGTAGGAGATGCGAGGCTTAAAGTATTTGTTTCTACCTGTGCTTAATTATTTGAATAACTTGTAAAAAACGTCGTCTTTAATGTATAGTACCCGTTATCGTGCACTGAATTTTCTATTGGAAAGTTTTATTTCATATTTTGTTTAATATTTCTTAATTATTCGTTTTTATTAATAGTGAATTGTTAGAAATTGTTACTTTTTGTAAATATGAGTGAGACTTCTCGCTGATCATGTAAAATGTGTTCATTTTAATCTGATAATGTAATGAATATTATTACAATAATATTATTTTTATGTGTTGCTAGAACATGGATTTTCCTAATTAGACTTCTAGCACTTACTGTTTAAACGTCGCACTGCCTTTTTCGTCCTATTTTATGGTTTTGTATAGATTTTATGATATTCTTTCTGTTGAAATGTTTACAACATTAATTCATTATTCATGCTACGACAGTATACATATTTTGTTATTATTTCTTAAAATTTATGAAGTGACGTTTTATAATTGTGATGCATTTTAATCATTTGAACAGGACAGAACTAACGTGAAAACTGTCTGGAGAGTCATGATGTTTTTGGTAAAATATAAAATTAAAGACCTTAAATATATACAAAGGAGTGCTAAATATTGATAGGCTCTTGGCCCTTTATTAATGTAACTTTATTAGATTGGTCTGTATTGAAAATACATAATCTGAAATATTATCACTAGCGATATGATAGGTTGTTGATAATAGTAAAGCCTCAGTCTATGACAACGGGATTATATTTAGTCGTTGTTTAATACTATCCATTAGGTATGTTTGACTTTGCAAGATATTGTATTTGTATTTACACAAGTTACACATGCGAGTTCATTTCTCGCAATAAAGCGGCAAGTTCTAAATCGGGAGAACGGCGTGCTCCAGGTGAAGTTGGAAGAAAAGAGGGGTATAACATCTGACTCGCCTGAGAACAATCGCCTTCTAATTTTTCCTAGCCCAGCAATATCGCTGAACCTACGATATCTCACTTGTACTTAGCGTTTTCATGCAATTAATTTATTTACTTCCATGGCACCGAGTTCAGAAACATTCGAGAGTTTTGTGGTCGGCTTCAAACAAACAGTGATGATTCAGAAAACGGAGACAAAGGTGGTAACAGACAACAAAGGCCAAGGCTAGATGGTTAGAGGTCTCCTTAAATTCGAAATCATCTTCCATGTCAACTAACTGCTTCTGTGTAGCATTGAAGGCTCCAGACAGGCATATTTCAAGCCGTAAGCTGATGTAAGCCATCGTTCGTTCTGTCTTCACCGCACTCTTTGACACAACACTTGGGAACTTCAGCAGCCGCGAACACTCACAACCGTGACAAACTAGAGAACATAAGTATTCTCTCACTGAATTGAACATAAATGAAACAAGCACACATCCCAGAGCAGCTTGTTCTTATACTCTAGTACATGATACGTAATTTGCTGTCAGGGTAGGCAAAAATTAAACATGTAGAATTATTAAGTCTATTTAGATGAAAGAAAGAAAACTTTTAAATAAAATCAGAGCTACTTCTATTTCTCTCGAAATTTTTTAAAACTTTTTTTGTCGATGTGTAATACTGAGGGCGAATGTGTTCCGTATGAATCGTGATTCCCTACCGTGTGTTTGTGTGTAATTGTGATATATGATTGTGTTATTTTCGATTCGACATTTGTAATGTACATGTAGGAGGTGGAAAATACACAGCTGTCATACGTAAATTAACTTCAATATTTGAGTAAATATAACACTTTTTTTCTTAAAACTCAAAAATAGTTAAAAATTAATAGGCTATTTTCTAAAAAATAAACAATCCTTTGAGCTAATTCTTTTCTTACCTACACTTCGTTGCTAAAGAACGGCCCTCTCGTCCACTAAGAATGAATTTGTTATACATATTATCGTCCGCAGGATTGAATAAAAACGTATATAAATTGATATTTGAGGGCTCGGGCAACATACGCTTTTCTGAAAACTTTTTGTGTAGTTGTTGTCCAAAGGTTACAAGTCTCCGTGTTGACAGTTATGGAACTCTATTTTCAGAAATTTTTAAGTATTCAAAAATACATTTCTCGGCCATGTATCCCAACCTGTAGAAGTACTATATATACTCTCCTCTTATTGCCAATAAGTGACAAAAGCTGTATTTATTAACATATTTCTTTTCACCTTATTTCTTCGTATGTAGTGCATTTCTACGACATATAATAAACATATTTGTCTTTGTAACGCATGTAAAATTTAGCTTATTAGTATAATAATTAAATACGTATACATTTGTAAGATGGCTTTGTGGCGTATGTTATAGAAAGACAATTGTTAATAGTTCGCCACCAGAGATAATTCCTGTTACGTTGTCAAATTTCAAAATTTCTTTCTTGTGTTTTTAGCTGGAAAGAGACTTCGGCTTGCGGTGTGTACTATGTACTTCCTCGAAGCCTTTGTTGGCAGTTTTGTTTGACCTGCAGCCGTATCCTTCATATCAGTAGCGAGAGAGCTATATCGTGCAACAGTAATTGCGAGAAAGAAATAGAGTGAGAGTAATTAACGCGCGTGAGGATCGCTTTTCCCTTTAAGAGTTAGAATAAATAATTATAAAATTCTATATTCCATTGTAGAAAATACTTTTCTAAATATTGTTTGCTCGTACAGGCGTTTTTTTCTTGGCCAAAATAACCCATAATAAAGTTATTTCGTAATGTATAGTTTTTCATTCACATCAGTTGTGAATTGAATGTTCAAAGTGACATTTAGGCTTTCCTACATGTATAGTTTCTATCGCGCAAAACGTCACACACATATACGATTAGAAATTTTCTTTCCACTTTGCCAAATATTCATTCAAATAAAAATCATTATTTGCAATTCGAAGATTTTTGTGTTTTCTTCTCAAATTTCGTGCGATATTTTACAAATACAAAACATTGTAATTAATTGGAAATATCTCATTAGTTTCCAAATAATATCTCAAAATTTAAGGTCGACCTTATCCGATCATTCGATTTTGGCCTCTCGAGGCGTCATCGTCATTCATTAATCGCGTCGCTGGTGTGAAGGGACGCTGAGGGGGGGGGCGAGGGCGACGGCGTCGGGCGCTCGTTGCAAGAGCCGCGAGCCGCGTCCGAACCGCGCCCGCACACGCCGGCGCGCGGCTGCGCCAAGTTGCGCAATCCATGCAAATGCGGGGCGACGTAATTGCATCTAACGGCGCCGCGCGTCCCGCGCGCCCCCACATGCCTAGATGGCCGCCGCGGCGTCGCCGCCGCTCCCGCTAACTCGTTCACCCGCCCCCGAATCCCATGCGATCGGATCTGCTGCAGTTCTGCGACGAGTTTGACGTTGGCGCTTTCGCGAACCACCGCGCGCGCCGCAACCGTGCGAGAGGGGGGTTTCGTTTCATTCGGCTTTCACCAACAACTTTTTAATCTGATTTCATTAACTAAGGATGGAACAGCCCCCCTTCACTGCAGGTTTTATAATTTGTATGATATAATACAAATATTATTCAGCGAAATAAGTTGTTTTTTATTACATGTACTTAGTTACAAGGAAAAATATTTTCGTTCATCCACTTTTTCAGGTTTAAAATTGTTCTTGTCTTTCAAATTTTACGTTAATTATCGAAACACAATATTATAATGGTGTTTTATCTGTGCAATTTTAAATTTTAATTAAAGAATCAATTTACATTTATGACTACCGTGTGGAACTAAATGTCACGCTTGATCTTAAAGCAAAATTATTTTTACCAGCTAATCGCCGATAGACGCTTCTGTTGTAGACACAGTCGCGTCTTCTGTCGCGTAGCTTTGCTCTTCGGCCTGTGATATCCCAGTGATGGTTTCGTATACGCTGCACGCTTTAGCGCGCCGTGTTTTCCCGCTTACCCTCTCTTCTTCCCTTCTAGGTTATCACTAGTTAGTTCCACTCTCTTTCACGTCGATAGGGAGGACGGCAGAGTTGTAGCAGTCTCGATTGAGAGCTCCCATCGAGGGGTTGGCGTCGATTCCTCACCTCTCGAACCCGAATTATTAACTGGTAGCGTAGCGTGTAGATGGGAGCGCGGATTTTTGTGAAAGATGCGCGCTTCGCCGCCCTGTGCTTGACTGTCGCGATTGCAATAGGTGTGCTGGAAGCTGTGTGCGATATAAGGGCGTTGCAAGTATACGGTTGTATTCGCAGATGTTGTTATGAAGTTATGTTTGAATTTGAGATTTTCTGATTTGCGTTTTCGTGATGGTTGAATCAATGTATTTTATAAAGCAATAATTTCAGTGAAGAATGCAACCTTCTGACCCGTATACGTGTCAATGTTTTAAACGGTCTTGTTTTCGTTAACATTTATTTGTTGGAGAAGGCATCCGTGCCTTTTCATATAGGTGTTCACCACGTTGCCCTGTGTCACATGCAGCTTGTAAATATAAACTAGATCGGCCCTAGGCTTGACTGATGCACACCCCTAGAAAGTATGTAGAGTTGAGAAGTTGTGTTCAAGTTTTTGTTTGCTGGCTTTGTTTGTTTGTTTGAATGTTTGTCTATGATTTGCTTGTTCTCGTGAGACTTGTATGTATGTGAATGTGAATACGAATGAGAGTGAGTTATTTTTAAATCTAAACAGTATATTGTCAGTCCGTGTTTACGTGAAGTATGTGACTAAAAACTAAGTAGTAGGACGAAGAAAATCTACAAAAAAAGATCAAAGGCAGAAAAATGGTTATAACGCGAATATATAAACAATATTTTCTTTTTTAAGTAACTCTGGAAATTCATAAATTAAATATTGGTTGTACAAGAAACATTTTCTTTCTTTATCATAACATATTTAAAACAATTGAATCTTCGCAAGTTTTAAATATACTATGTGCCATCGATGTTACATTTAGAATAGAACATAAATTAATCTCCCCTACGAAATCAGATTACTTTATCTACATTTAAGTTCACACGTGATAGTATTATTTTTTTCATTGCGTTCCATGTACAATTCTCGTATAAGAAAACATGTATTATGATAATTGCTACCCTTAATTGCATTTTTGAATGTAAACAACTGATTGTCTGAAGACGTTACGAGCATGGTTGGTTTGTAAATGTATATAATTCGTGTAACTGAATCTTTCTCTGTGTAGTCGATGTTTAGAAGAGATGAAACCTAAGTAACTTTTTATTTGTACCCCCACCCCTCCTCCCGTCGAAATTCCGCCCCCGGCCTTGGTGCAGCCTGCCGGCGTGGTCGACCATGTTCTGGAGCCCGCGAGCGGCACGCTCGTAGAAGCTACTCGCCGGCGCTTACTTGTGTGTATTTTGGTTTTGTCTGGTGCCCCCTGCATTTCGTACGCGTTTCCCTCTTTTTATATATACGTAATAATTTCCATCCATTACTTAATAGACCTATGTACTATTTAAGTTCTTATTTAATTTACACGCCTTAATAATTTAAGTGTTGTGGTAACTGCGCGACGTACTGGAGTGGCGTCGCGGCTGAAATACGTAAACTGTAATTTTAAGAATAAAGAACTCAAACTTCTCCCAGTATTTACATGTTTTCATTTCGTGTGTGAAGGTAGAAAAAAAATGTTTCAAAACTGTGGCCCACGACAAAGCTAAAATATATGTCTGTCATTTTTTGTAGACATCAGATTTTAAAATAATGGAACTCTTAAAATGTTTTACCCGTTTACCGTGCCAGATATGAATTTTTTCCAGAGAGTACACAAAAAATTGTACAGACTGTAGAGATCGATTATGAACAATTCCACAAAAACAACTGGTAAATAATTTTAAGAGTGCAATTTGTAAGTATTATATGTTTAATCTTGTACATAACTAAATGAAACAGCCACCGGTTTTGATAGTGTTAAAAACAAATGTAATGTACTTTGGCAGCTTAATAAAAGTCTTAATAACTACAAAGAGCTTTTACATATTCCCTACCTTCTTTTACTCTTTTGAATCTTTTATTTAATTATTCAAATGAATTGTGAAGAGGTATGTTCTGTAATTCAGATGTGGGTAAAGATAACCACCTTTGGATTTACCCATGAGAAGTTTACATTTCACATTTCTGTAGTTTATAGAATTTATGCATTTTTATCTAACTAATCAAGTTCATTGTGTACATTTATTTTCAGAATCTTAAATTCAATGACCCAATTTAACGCCTGAAGAAATAAAAATAATGTGCATTGCTAACTATTCTTAGATAAAACAAATTAAGTATTAAATTGGATTAGGTACTTGATATTTTTGATACTTGATATAGGTTTGTAACATACTGCGACGCAAAAATTATTTAGAAAGAGATTGGTAATGTAATTGCGTTAGTGCATCTGAGGAAAAAATTATCTAAAAACCAGAATAATGTTTGTTAATATTTCCCGTACAGTCCACACGAATTTAAACAAACAATGGGAATATATTAAGAAATTATAGAGTGGGGTATACATTCGTACTAATAGGAATTCATGGTTGAATTCTGACACTCGTGAATTAATGTTCCATAACCATAAAATGTTTGCACTTTCACATAACCATAAAATGATTCATTATGTTCACATTAATATGAATAAGTAATACGAAAATATTTCAGAAAATAACATACATATTTGCAACATTTTCCATTAAAATTTGGGATATGAATTTATTGCTAGAAATTAATTAATTTTATTTTTGTGATTCTGAACGTGTATTGTTCATAAGTTAATAATTTAAGTAAATAAGTTAAGAGTTAAGTGTCCAGCTAGGAATGACAGTTTACCAAACTTTACCGAATTATTTAAATTATTATATTTTAACCGATTCATATTTCTTTTCTAATGTGTTTTAGAAGAGATTATCACGCACTTTTAGAAACATCAACTCTCCTATACATTAAATTAGAAGTGAACAGTACTTTCTCGAATACATAAATTTGATGTGGCTAGAAGTAGATTTGTGAATAATTTGTCTGGAATAATGAAAGTATTTTTTAAATGTTATTTCAAACATACTCGTAATATTTTTAAAATAAATTGCATTCACATAAGTACTATTATATGACTAAGGGAATATACATTGATTACTTGAGACAAGAAGTAGTGATTAGATTAAACGGATCTCGATTTTACGTTCAAATACATAAGAAATCGACAAACAAACATTGAAAACTGTTTGACATTTTATCTTATTATGTATTCATGTGCACTATAAATGTAATACAACTATATTCTCAG